GGAAAATCGGGGAAAGATACAAGAGTCTGGAATTTTGGAATTCTGCTCACAATTTTCTTAAATATTTTTTTTTGTAAGTAATATTTGTAATTATTTTTAATATTATATCGTGTAACGACGCATTCATCCAACGTTACTCGCGAAACCGAAACAACGGCCAAAGTAACTGCCAAACAATGATTACACGTAAACACACACGCGATCTCCGCAGACAATATTTGTTGTAATAATGGCGTTGTCTGACAACGGCATACCATCGCGCGAAACGCGTGTAAAAGCGCGCGCCGTGAACGATCCGACACCAGAGCAATTCGAACCGGCCAAGGAGAACAAAAGCAAATCGAGCAAGCTAGCATTGATTCTCCAGTCACCAGAGTGACGATTCGGAAAGCGGGACGAGCTGATTAGCAAGCATTATCGAACGGTTATAGTTGCCGAAGGACTGTCATTTCTCGCATCGTCGCACACAGCGACAAGTAAAGTATTTTCTTATTTGTTTCGTTACATACAAGTCTACGCTGCTACAACCCGGCAAATCCGACGAGCGATGTCCGCAGACGTTAACACAGCGAACGACCAACGCCGGAATTCCGCCATTGCAATATCTAATATTTATAATCGAATGCGCTCAGAACTCACACACTTTACAAGTTATTTCTTATGTGTTAGAACATGGGATATAGAAAAACTCAAGAGGATGTTAGAACGGCGGCCGAACTCCGATAAAAGTATGTCGGTAATTAAGTTATTAATTACATTATGGCGTTATCGGTGTCATTAGATATATGACTTCTATATGAGGAATAGAGAACGAAAACGATCGATAGTCAGTCTTTATCCACCAAGCTTCATGCTGTTACGCCCGTATGAGCATACGTTAATATATACAAAGTGATTCATAAATGTATGTCAATATTTCAAGGGGTAAATATACATACTAAGATAAGTAAAAAACGTCATATGAATATATTTTCTATATACCTCAGTTTTCGAGTTAAGGACGATCAAAGTAAATATTCGAAGTGCCCATAACTCGCAAACTAAAATATGTAGGACATATATTCATATAATGTTTTTTTACTTATTTTAGTGTATACATTTACTTCTTAAAATATTGACATGCATTTATGTATTACTTTGTATACACGTTTGATTAAAACAAAACACAGCAGCGCCTTTGACAGTAGATCCTAAAACTATATAATATCCTTTTCTAGTCTACTACTGTACGATAATTTCGCATACATTGACATCGAGTTTTCAGGCAAACCGTTTTTTTTTTAAACTAGGCTTCTGAGTTTAATTCTAACAGTTGAATAATATTTTACAGCGCAGTTTATATCCCGACCTGGGTTTTGTCTGTTCGCAGAACCTACAAAACTATTGTATGAAGCAAATATTATCTTTGATTGACAGCTCCAAACGCCATTTTGAAATAAGAACTAATAAAGAGAACTATAATTCTTAAACTTTTTCTCGTTTTCAGTACAGAGTCGACCAGCATAGCTATATATGTATTATAATCATACAAAAGGATTTACGATTCTATGTAGCCAGAAACGAAAATATTTTCATTACACATAAATAATATTTATGTGTTTATTATTATATTGCAAAATATTTAATAAAACCGCATAATAAATCATTATTTATTTACAAAGAATAAAAAATTTTAATTGCACAAAGTCGTCCGAAGAAAAAAAAAATGGTCATAACGCGATCTTGAACTCAGCTTGCGTTAATAGCAAAATTACGAGTGCGCGTTTAACCCACCCGACCACCATGCTCCACGTTGAACTTTAATCATTGTATCTACCATACAGCTAGAAAATGCACACTTTTAGATATAATTTTCTTAGAAACGAAGACCCATACATCCAAAACCCTTAACAGGTTTATACCCTCGACTTTCCCTTTCGAATGCATTATGATTCATTCAAAAGTAGAATCAGCAGTCCGCGTCTTCTTGTTAGCCTTACAATTTCTTTAATACGTCAGTGCTCCACGTTTTCAGCTCTGTCCCCCTCTCTCTTCTTTTCTCTCTCTCTCTCTCTCTCTCTCTCTCTCTCTTTCGTTTTTCTCTCTTTCTCACGTCTTTCTCCCCCCTCCTCCTGTTCTTCCACCGTTATCAATGAACCCCTCCTCTCGCGTAAGCCGGATCGCGAATCGTTGCTAGGACAGTCGCGAGTGTGGCCGCAACCATCCCGCAGGTACTCTCGGCTCTCCAACGGGAACGGTCTTCGTAACACGTTTTAAGGATGGTACGAAGGAATATTTATAGAGGACACGCGGAAGTCGCGAAAGTTCTGCCAGAGCACAGTACTGGTAAGTCCCGCGTCCCCGCGCGAACCATAAGACAATGGATCGGGGCACGTTGACGATCGCTGATCCGATAACATATGGTTGAGAACTTAACACGTGGTCCCCGTTCCGCTGTAAAGCCCGCTTGGACGAAATGTAATTCGAGACCGGAATAAAATTCCACCTGTTATTCCCGATGTCTAATTATGCCCACAATTATACGAATAAGGGGGAATTTATGGTTACGTTAGTTATATCTTAATTAGAATTGAATTTTGTACAGGCATATATTGTGATCGTTAGATTCACCAGACTGCGTATGACTAATATAACATGTGATGAAACTGTGTGTATATGGAATTTTTTTTCTTTTATATCATGGTTCATTATTGTAATATTAATCACACGCGCGCGCGTTAGAATAGAAAATCGTTCGATATATATACATATGTACGAATTGTTCTTAAAGTCGATATTTAACTGGTTTGAATTATACACGAAAATGAAGGAACCGGTTATCGATGAGAGAGAAAACCAGTTAACTACTAACTATAACGTATTATAATATGACAAAAGATATTTTCCGTTGAACAGAAATATACTATGCCTGTGTGGCATCTCGATTATCGATATTATATGACACTGACATATCACCTGCTTATTTACTCAAATGACATTTATAATAGTCCATAAGTTGTGAACGTACTAGACTATATAAGTAAAATTAAAATATTCTAAAGATAAAAAGATAAAAATTAATCACTAGTCTGCTGCATGTATTTCGTATTTTCTTATCAATTTTTATCGTAATTGCGTATCTGGACACAAGAATCGTACGGCGAAACGCTCCAGATAGTTTGTGTAACGATCCCACAAATCATGTTGCATACTTTTTTTTTCTTTGGCGTATATGCATAATGATTCTTTTCGAGCGACTTTATGTCCCTCTTCCTTAAAACCTCTTCGTAAGTCGATGCAATTCGAATTAACGTGAAGAGCACATTCTTCAAATAACAAGAAATGAGTCATGCAACGATTATCGTTGATGGCGTTAAGGGAATGCCTGAATTCACCATTTTTTTGGCACGCTATTCTCGTTTCTAACTATACCTGATACAACTCGGGACTCGTCGATTTTTTACCGAAAATGAAAAGAAAATTTAGGAATTGTAGTTCTTTTTTTAGAATTATAGTTATAGTTATAGTTTTTTAGAATTATAGTATTGTAGTTCTTTTTTTAAGAATTATAGTTCTTTTTGCTAGTTCTTATTTCAGTATGGCGTCTAAAGCCATCAACCAAAAATAATATTTGCTTCATACAGTTATGCAGGTTTTGCGAACAGAGGAAAACCAGGTCAGGATATAAACTGCGTTGTAAAATACTATTCAACTATTGAGATTAAATTCAGAAGCCTAGTTTAAAATAATAGTATTCCTGAAAATCCGCTGTCAATGTGTATGAAATGATCGGTATAGCAGGCTGAAAAAGAGCATTATATAGTTTCGGGATTTACCATCAAAAACTGCTGCGTTTTGTTTTAATATGTGTTTATACGTACTAATGCATTGCTCATATGGGCGCAACAGCAAAAAGCTTTTATAAGGATATAATAATTATGGATGTCCTGAATTTTAAATGCGTTGTAATAATAGCTTCCCTCTAATAAATATCAATGTAACTCGTACCATTGAGCAACAGTTTACGAAAAATCGTAGTTTAAAGTTTACCATGCTCCGTACATACCGCTGTAGTGGAAGCGAGATTCAAATAACGAGCATGGCTCAGCGAAAATAGAGCAGAAAAGATACAATAAAAATTCATTCATTTCTTTTGTATCAATTGAGTGCATCATATTTTCACTCTAATGATTCAATATGCATAATATGCGTCAAAATTGATTGACAGTAGACCAATATTTTTAAATATGAATAAAATCTACTTCTCTTTAACAATGCGCAAGAAATCGTGCATTTGTAAAGATGTTACTTTCGTTAAGTGTGCTTAGTGTACATCGGTGCTTCGCGGTACTTGAACTGCAGGATGAGTCCGCATTTTCATTTACTATAAATTTTTGAAGGCATAATTGTAAAATTTGGCTCTGTACGTCTCTCATAAATATTATGAAGAATATTCCAAAAAATGTAGAAAAACATGATTTATACGAAGAGGAAAACTGAAAGGCGTACATACCATGGAAAGTATTGCTAGATTACACTTTCCGTGGTATATACGCTTTTTAGTTTTTCTCTTCGTACAAGTCATATTTTCCTACATTTTACGGAATATTCTTCGTAACATTTACAAGGGACGTTCAGACATATTAAAAAAAAAAAAAAAAATATATATATATATATATATATATATACACGATTTACACTATATACGAAATACACTAAAGTTTTACTATATTATTACTATGTAATGTGATGTATGAGTTTCAATAATATTACTATATAATATGATGTATTTAGTTTCAATAGTTGTTTTTAAATCACAAGAAGATTAGAGTTTAACTATGGAGTTGACCTATTCTATTGATACACAACAGCATTGTTTTCCATACAGGAATATTTTTCAGGAAACGAATCAATTATCATGTAGAAAATTCTTTCTCGAAATGTTCTGAAATATCTGTGAAACGTACAACGTTTTATTCAAATTTGTCTTTTTGCAATTAATCGCCTATTTTTGCTTACAGTGGCAGCTCTGATATATTGGCGTGATCCCAAAACATCGGGAATAGTATTCGGCGTGATACTAAGTGTGCTCCTGTCGTTGGCCTATTTCAGCCTGATCAGCGTGTTCGCTTATCTGTCGCTCTTAGTCCTCGGCGGAACCATTCTTTTCCGTATGTACAGAACCGTTCTTCAAGCTGTCCAGAAGACTTCAGACGGTCATCCGTTCAAGTAAGCAAAAGAGTTCCGTTAACAGTTAAACGTACCGACTTTCGGCCTGCAACCTATAAAAGTCCGTAACTTCGTTATTTCTTCGTATTTCGATAAAACCTTCTGGGAATTTATTCTTCAGAAGTATTTAGAACATTTAAAAACAGAAAATAAAAATCAATTGTTTGGAGCTCAAATTAGAATATCCTTTTAAGATTTTGACTTCGGTTACAAACTTGGACTCGCGTGAGTAGCTGCGGGTGACCGGAGTGATTGTATATCTTAGTTCGATTTTTCAACTTTTTTACACTCTTTCTTCTTCTCAACTATGCGTACGCTTTAAAAACATATTTTAAAACATATCTCCAATCCTCATTTCTAACTTGGAAATTTGCTTACACATTTTAATATTATATTAATTATTAATTTTGTTTGATATTAAAAAAATAATATTAATTATTTATATATTTGATCTTCCAGGCTTTCGTGGTATGGATAAATATTTGATTTAGCTTCCGAGTTAACGCCGCGTCTTTCATGGATTTATTTCTGACATTTCGTGAACTTTTTAGTTGATTTCTTCAAAATGATCTCATCCATGAAGGGCGCGGCACTAACTCGGAAGCCAAATCAAGTATAATATGTATGTATGTATGTATGTATGTATGTATGTATGTATGTATGTATGTATGTATGTATGTATGTATGTATGTATGTATGTATGTATGTATGTATGTATGTATGTATGTATGTATGTATGTATGTATGTATGTATGTATGTATGTATGTATGTATGTATGTATGTATGTATGTATGTATGTATGTATGTATGTATGTATGTATGTATGTATGTATGTATGTATGTATGTATGTATGTATGTATGTATGTATGTATGTATGTATGTATGTATGTATGTATGTATGTATGTATGTATGTATGTATGTATGTATGTATGTATGTATGTATGTATGTATGTATGTATGTATGTATGTATGTATGTATGTATGTATGTATGTATGTATGTATGTATGTATGTATGTATGTATGTATGTATGTATGTATGTATGTATGTATGTATGTATGTATGTATGTATGTATGTATGTATGTATGTATGTATGTATGTATGTATGTATGTATGTATGTATGTATGTATGTATGTATGTATGTATGTATGTATGTATGTATGTATGTATGTATGTATGTATGTATGTATGTATGTATGTATGTATGTATGTATGTATGTATGTATGTATGTATGTATGTATGTATATATGCGCGCGCGTGTGTGTGTGTGTAAAATTATATTTTATATTTATTAATATATATATTTTGAGTATATTTATTATAAATTATATAATTAATACTAAGTTTAAAAACCGGAGTGCGAATCAGTTTGTCTGTTTTACAATATGCCGAGTAAACTCCGCTCTAATGCAACCACCTTTGGGATTACAGAGACATTCTCGACCTGGACCTGGCGTTACCGGCTGTGAAAGTACACGAATTCGCAGATGTTGCGGTCGCACACGCTAACGCCGCTATTAGTGAATTACGCAGGCTGTTTCTCGTCGAAGATTTTGTCGATTCTCTCAAATTCGGCGTCCTCTTGTGGTGTCTCACTTACGTCGGCTCTTGGCTTAATGGCATGACTCTCATCATAATCGGTAAGTGGCCTATCACTTTGCGCCTCGATATGCTTGAGCACTATCGATTTTAACGTGTGACGTTTGTTTGATTCCAGGCGTGGTCTCTCTCTTCACGCTGCCTAAAATCTACGAAACGAACCAGGAACAGATCGATCAGAATCTAGCCTTGGTACAGGCGAAAATTAACGAGATTACCGCCAAGTAAGTGGGAGGTCGCTTCTAAGTTCGCAAAACATTTCAGAGGCGCTCAGAAAGTAATAATGTGACGAAATCTTGTCCTGATAAATCGTCGAAAAAGTGTACGTTCATTCGACGCTTTTTGGCGTCGAACAAGGTTTTAATAACTGAAATATTTATCGCTGTAAGAGAGAGAGAGAGAGAGAGAGAGAGAGAGAGAGAGAGAGAGAGAGAGAGAGAGAGACATCGCCTTATTTTCCGAAGATTCTCCCTCAGAACATGTATCCTTTGTATATTATATATGTACATATGTATTAAAGTTCCACCGCGCATCTCGTCGTCGTGATGTTTCTCGAAAGCCGATTACTTGGTTGTTTCAGAGTGAAGGCGGCGATTCCCCTCGGCAAGAAAGCTGAGCCGACGAAGGAGGAATAAGAAAGAGTCGTGCAAAAACCAGCGGACAGCCGGGACAGCAGCAGCAGAAATAGAAACGACTAAGTTAGAAACGTATGAGAGAGAAATGCGAAAAATAGAAGAATAATGCGAGATTGAGAGCGCGTACGAGAGCAGGACAATTGTATTAATCGACGATGATATTAGCTTTTGCGACCGTCGGTGAATTCGTGTTCATTTGGAGCCGATAACGCCGGTCGAAGTCGAGAATGTAATCCAAACGTGGTTTGGATTAGATTAGAATGGAGTTCACTCGAAATATCGTGAAACGAGAAAACCGATTCGACCCGGTTTGTAAATTTAATATTAATTTATAATGATGAAAATATTAACAAATATTCTCACATTTTCCGCATTTCTCTTTGGTCGGGGAAGGGTCACGTCATGTATGCACACATCGTTATTGGGGCCCCGTTGGTAATCGCATTGATGACGGGATAGTTAACACGCGCCGCGAGGCCGGTAGGTATCTCCGCCGAGAGTTTCGACGTCGTATTCCGGAGGAAAGAGATACTTGAATCATCCTTTTCTAAGGCAAGTCAATCGACGAGATCAAACGGTCGCGCACGCGCATCGACATTCTGATCGGAAGAATAATCCTTTATCAAGGAAGTAAATATAACGAAAGAGAAAAGGAAAGAAAGAGGGAGAGAGAGAGAGAGCGAGAGAGAGAGAGAGAGAGAGAGAGAGAGAGAGAGAGGCAACATTTAGCATTAATTAATCGTTCATTATCACGGTAAACAATGATGACGTATTTTTAGCCAGCTATATTAACAGTGCAATGTACGCGGAGCTGCTCTCGAAAAAACGGATCAGCTCTTCTCCTCCCCTTCCTCTTTTTCGTCGTATTCTTCGACAAATGTGTTTTACGGTAATCTTCAAACTTCGTGTCTTTACCTTTATGATGTCCTCTGTTCCTCTTCGCAGAGTGAATGCGTATGTTAGTGAGTATGCATGCATGCATGTGTGTACATGTGTGTGTAAGAAACAAAGAGAGAGAAAGAGCGAGCGAAAGGGGAAGAGAGAGAGCGAGTGAGAGAGGGTATGAATGCAAACAAGGCTGCACGCGACTTATCGTAGTCCCGTCTTCGCAACATCATATTCGACTAATCTGGATTCATTGTTCGTGTACCGACCGGGAATTTACCGCAGTAATCGTTTAAACTTTATGACGCGACAGTAACCTAGAGAGAACGGGGGGGGGGGGGNGGGGGTGACGGAGGCTTCGTGACGATACAAAGAGTTGAGAACGAGATGAACATGAGAGACGTTCAAACGTTTAAACGGAATCGTTTTGTGTGTCCCGCAGCGGTAGATCTTAAAATAACTGTCCACTGCGATCCCCCAAAGCCCCTCGATGTTTTTAAGTTGTTGTTACGTTTGGGAAAAAGTGCGAAGTGCGGTTGGACGACCAGTTGAATTATGCGAAAAACGTATATTGCATCCTGTCTCTTAATAACGTTGACGTTTGCATAATATTATTGCTACTGCATTATTAATTGTAATTATACCGTTGCATATGCACACGCGTGTACAATGTACATTACCGTCAGAAAGTTTCTGAGACACTCATAACCGGCTCAGATTAAGTACTTTTATATAATTTATACGTATACATAAAACACCCAGGCTCCTTTATATAATTTATTAATATTAAAATTTATAATATTGTAAATTATATACGTTATATATCTCTCTATTTATTACCGTAAGGTCATATATATATAACATATATGCTATGTATAACTTATTGAGAGCGACAAATCTGTATAACTCTGTATGAAACTAATCACTTTTTATTACGGTGTGTTACTAAGTTGCTCGACGGTAGTGTATACGCATATGCGTATATATGTACGCTTCTGGCACACATATGTACGAAAGCACGCGCGTGTTTGTATGTGAAAGAGGGATAAGTAGTCATCGAATCGAACGATCCTAAACGATAACGTGGTACGGAACACATTAGACGGTGAATGATGAAGATGCAACTTTATATTATATCGTAATATCTATCTATAGTTATCGAGAACACACGTGTTTTTATCGGGACCGATGGCAAAGTGTTACGAATATGAATTGTAATACGCATATTGCTTCTTGACGTTTTCATTATTGCATCTGCATCCGCACGATTAATTTATAAATAAATGATATTAAATAAGAGAATCTCTATTCTATGTATAATAATTGCTATATCCCCCCCCCCCCCCCCCCCNCTCCCCCCTCCAAGAATGTTCTCAACTCTCCCATACAGCACCGAAATGTTTCAAAATGTTTCTGAGACGACTCTGGGATAGCAAAATTCTTGCACTTGAAACCTTCCTGAAGATGTGCTGAAAGGTTACCAAAATATATCTGAAACCTTTTTGAATGTTTGTTGAAAAGTTACTGAAATAATTATTTATATGCATAGTTATGTTTATTTATTCATGAATTATATATTAATATTGTTCGCATTTCAATATCGTATATTATGGAAAATATAACAGTCAAATAAAATTATTTAAAAAAATTTAATAACATTTGTACAATAAAAAAAATTAATAATATTTATTGATGATTATTAACACGTTTGTTACCACGCTCCTCGGGCATAGTTTGTTTTACCAAGCTGAGCTGACAATTCTTTGAGCGTCTGTGCCGGATTTTCATCCAATAACTCTTGCAATTCCTCGTCGTCAAATTTTTTCGGTTGCCCTGAGCGTTTCTTGTCTTGAACTTCAATATCACCTTCTTTGAAACGTTGCATCAATTTTCCACACGTTCTTTCTGAAGGAGTAGCTTGCCTATAAGTGTCCAAAGGCAAGTGATAAGCTTCAGCGGCACTTTTTTTCAAATCAAAGTCGAAGAAACACATGTCGGAAAAACTCTTTATCGCGTTCCATATTCGCTCCGCCCTTTATCTGTACACAGAAACGACCTTTGTGGATTGTATGTTGTTGATAAATGACGACATGAATTAAAGCAACATGCATCCAGAGCTATTGTTGACAGTGGCACGAATTAATGCAATCCCCTAATATATTCATATAGTTGGTAGCATATTTTGATTATAGAAAAGAACGATCGGATTTTGGGCGCGCAAACGGTGTGCAATTTATCGTTGTTACAGTTGTAAGAAGAAAATATATTTAGTACCTGAAGTGACTGGAATCGCGAATCCTTCGACCTTGAGGACCTTTACCTCGTTGCGGTATTTCAAAGTAAGTCGCAGGCATTATCAATTTCCCGAGCTGAGGACACACACGGAGCCACGCGCGTAAAACGTTATCAAGGAAAACGCCGGCGTGTGTCAAACTTCTCTCTGATAAAAATATGTGATAATATGATAATAATATATCGATGTAGCATAAATATATCAAGAACTGCATTATCGTTACCTGCATTACCGATTATTTTAGTTCCTCTTGGGTGGTGCGCTGATCTCGTTAGAGTCATGGATCGAAGAATCTAAGAATCTAGGAGGAGTGTAAGGCAGATCCGCGATAAGAGAGGTGTGCTGTCTCTTTCTAGAACACTGTTAGATGTTTTCGCCGTATACCTGATAATTCCCGGAAATGTAGATATACTTCATATTCCCCAACCTCCGAATTAAAGTGGATTAGCGCAGTCCGAGATTATACAAGGCGACATTTCTATACGTAAAAGTTAGCATAGAACTCCTTGAGATTAATATAAAACTCAATGAAACGACATTCGATGGTCGAAAACTCAAAATGCAATCCTTTTCAACGTTTTCGAGAAATTATTACGCTAGACTATATCACGTAAATTTCGGATATGACATTGATGTTTACTGTTAATACTGTTAATATTGTTAGTTGATGTTCATTCGGATTATATTATGTCATAAATAGTATTTAACGCATTAGAATTATCATATTCTGCTATACTCAAACATAACTGCTATATTCAAACAACAAACATCAACTAACAAACTTTATATCATTTTAGTGTAATAGTGTTACATTTCAATAATGTTTCTGCATATATTGCAATATTACGCATAAAATTCATATGGTATATTATATTTTTATAACATTTATATAATTAATGTTATATTACTGCAACAATCGATGTTTACTGAGTAGCCAGCCCATTTTTTTTTAACATCTTGTACATTTCGATTTTATAAGGATGAATTCTGGATGTCTTTAAATTCCTCGTTATATTTTAAGCGTATCTGGGATCAATTTTTATTTTTGTGGAATGTAAGTAGTTTCAACGTTGACTTCAATTATCTCAGCTCAGGTATCCAAATAGGTACGGTAAATATATTTTTTAATCGTATATATGTGTAGGACATATTTTAATTTACATATATATGCTGCTAAAACTTGTAAAGATTTGTAAGAAAATAAGTTTACGAGCCAACTACCTTAAAGTAACCTCAATTTGAATTTTTGCCGCCACATGCTGCTCGATCGTGGTAATCGCTCGTCCGTACGCATGCGTAACCTTGAAGCAAGGTGACTATTGCCATCCGAGACCGATGCGTATCATTCGCTTTCGAGCATTCCGAGAGGTTGCAGCGCGTTGGTCTCTCGTTGAGTTCCCATTATCGCCGCGACTTGTCGAAAGTTTTGTGGACAATCGCGACCGAATTGCATTGAGTAAGCCACCATGTCGATGACAGATTCTGATCACGAGAAGAGGAAGCAGATCTCAGTGCGCGGCATCGTCGACGTCGAAAATGTAGCGAACTTCAAGAAGACCTTCAACAGGCACCTTCACTACACCCTGGCGAAGGATCGCAATGTCGCCACGACCCGTGATTATTTCTTCGCCTTGGCCCACAGTGTCAGGGATAACCTGGTGTCACGGTGGATTCGCACACAGCAGCATTACTACGATACGGATCCCAAGGTATCATTATCGTTTCATATCTCGCTTCGAGAACGATTTCATTCCGGCGAAATTCGAATCACGATACCGCGCGAAATTTGCAAAGAGAATTCTGCAATTAACATAAAACACAGAATTAATGTAAATACATTCGGCGTCTGTGACATCAGTGAGAGAGAATTCGAAGATTGATATAAGAAGACCTTCAAGACGACTGCATTTTTCATACATCCTGTAATGCATCGAACGATCTGTTCAAGGAAGCTTTGCATGTCGCTCTCTCAACATTCGATGAGTAAGCGAAGCGTAAGAAATATTTAAAAAATACGTGTATCTTATAAATACATCTAATACGTATCTCTCTTTACTGTTTATTAATCGTTATTAATTGTTTCCAATTGTTACTATCTTATACTTGTACTCATAGTGTTATTATCTTATACTGTTACTATCTTATAGGCACGTAATATTTCTGGAATATTATATGAATATTATTCAATATTGAAATAATATTCTTATAATATTCTAAGAATGTCATGTAATTTTTTTTTTATATTACAGGAATGTTTGATATGTTATATGTCCATTTCACATAATATTTTTGGCATATAAAAATGTTCTTAGAATATTAAAAAGATTAATATAGAAAAATATAGAAAATATAGAAAAATATATAAATAAAATATACATATATATATATATGCAATTTTTTTAGTGCAAAACGTATTTTTACACAAAATTCGTTTGACATTATTTAACCCTTTTAGTGCCGGGCGAAAAAGAGGTGCTTATGCGAAGATAACCGGCCGATTTTACTAGGATTTGGTAAAAGGCTCATAAAAACCAAATGAAAAGCAATATTTAAAAATTATTTATTTTAATTCTCTCGTAATGAAATTAGACTATTTATAACGTATTTTAAATTTATTTTGATAGAGATCTCTCGCAATGCGAATAGTAAAGCGCTACAAGGTGCGGGCCGATATATCGGCTCTGGCACTTCTCGCCGGTGTAGCAGGAGCCGATATATCGGCTCCCGGCACTAAAAGGGTTAAATAATAAAACAATTGGTATTGCAATATATTTGAAATAAAAAGCCACAATTATATATATATATATATATATATACACATAGAATAAAATATTTAAAAAATATATAATTTTACAATAATATATTAAATAATATTATTTTTCAAATAATATTAAGAATTAACGTATAAACATGTATTAATATTCCAGAAATATAATTTAATATTAAATAATATTACGCGTTTATAGGGTAACTGTTGCTTATTAAGATTTTTATGCAAACTGCGCGTTGAGCGAAATACAAATGAGGATGTAGCATTTAATTTAATTTTTGCAAAACGGTAAAATTTATTAGAAACTTATCGGGGAATCTGCAGATACAAAGAAAAATCCACATATTCTGCCTTTTACTCTGATTGTGCGATTTTTGCTCATCTGAAAAAGTTTTGCAGTACGGGAAGTCATTAAGTAGACTATAGTTCATTAAGAAGGAACTGGTAGATAGACCGATAAAAATTACACTCGTTTGACCGGTGCGATTATGCAATTTACCAATAATAGCGTTACGTACGATCTTCGTACCAGTTTATGCGTCGCGAAAATTTTTAGAAATTCTGATAAAATACTTATGCAACAAAGCGTTAATAACAATATTTTACCATAGACGATATTACACATATATATATATATATATATATATATATATATCGTTTGTACCAACATGCTCATATAATAATTATAATTAAATTAGTAAATTATAAATAATATGTAGAAAAGTGTACCAACGTTTATGAGAAACAATACATCTTTAAAAAAATGTATTTATGGAAAAGAAAAAGATACAAGAGAGATAGAGAGAGAGATAGAGAGAGAGGAAGAGGAAGAGAAAGAGAAAGAGAAAGACAGAATACGCCCTCATTATTACACGAAACTTTGGAAATGATTTTGTCGTGCATAGTCAAAACATTTCACAGTCTATTCCGGTACACATTTTCCGAATATACAAGTCGCGATGCAGTTGCATCACATTTTGACTTGACACTTATGCACAAGATTTATTTCGGCTGTTATGCAAGTAGGCTGTCGCAGAGCGTAATAGCGTTATGAACCATTGCATTTTTAGAAAAATGTCACGTCTCACGTTGTTATGCTAAAAGAATGGGAGAAATTCAAAACGTAATAATTATTTTCTACAAACTTATATTTTATCAAATTTCGTCATGTTGAAATGTCAATTTAATCGCCTAATCAGTCGTTACTCATCTGGTAGAAGAAAGTATTTCAAATAGCAGCGTTGCTTCTTCCGGTGATCGATTTACATATCTACAAGTGAAGAATAACATATCACGGACATTCGTTATATTAGTTATTATCACAATGAGCAAATGAACGTACAAGCCCACCATCTCTCCCGAAACAATTGTACGCGAAGTGAAGAACGTCACGATGCATTCGACGTACTGCAAATGTAAGCGATATTTTCAAATGGATACATTTCGTCACGATATTTTTCTATAACATAAAATACGAAGTATAAAGTTAGTATAAGTTAGTATAAAGTTATCTCTAAAAGATCATACGCGTACAAATACTCCTGCCTACTGCAATTCGGATTATATATTCTCTGCGATTTATTGACCGGACGACTTCTCTCATTAAATCAACCAGACATCTCGAGTAAAAACATATTCGCTGTCTGCGAGTTATAAGCGTCAGCTGGTCGACCCTGAACGAATTCCCTGTCGCTCTGAAGCGAACATCCGACAGTTTATTTTTATTTGCACGGCCATTGTCACGCAGTGTTAGGATTTATGCTAATCGATGTCGTAATACACCTGCGATGCGGTGATATTATTTCGGCATTCCACTCGTATAAGAGTTTTCGAAAAATCCGTGTCTTACTGTCGCCGCATTCCGCATCTTGCGTGCGAATCATCATCATACGAATCTTCTCTTTTTCAGAGAGTGTATTACCTGTCTCTGGAATATTACATGGGAAGGTCGCTGCAAAATACGATGATCAATCTGGGAATACAAGGAGCATGCGACGAAGCGATGTATCAGGTGAACGATATTTTATGTTGTAATTTTTAATGCAAACTATAGTGAAAATTTTTATCCTTTTCATTATATAATTTATTTAAAAAAAAAAAGACCGTTTCATTTTCCAGAATTATCTCGATGACAATAGTTATTTTTTGCAATTTTTATTCTCATTTTCTCGTAGAAAATTCTGCTATATTTTTCAAAATTATCTTGATAATGGTAGTTATATTTTGCATTATTTTTAATATATTATGTGTGTGAAAATTTTCTAGTCTTTTTTACGCTTTATTTTTGCCCGAGAAAACTCAGTTCCTGTAACTGAATAAAGACCAGAAGCTCGGTGACCTGAGATGAAAATTCTATGACAAGAAATTACATCTCTGTTATCACAATCAAGAAACATTCGTGTGAACATTCGGTTGCAATGATACTCGATTGGGACGACTGAGAGCAATTGGCTGAGTTGGGACCTTCTGCAGGAACTTTCTATTCTTGTAATCGAGTCTTCCTTTAATCAGGCAACGGACAATTCATTTACCTCAACGGAATTGTTTTTTCCATGCACATAGTCAAAACATTAAAACTTTTGCTCATATGTCAATATCTTTTCTCAGAAAGAGCCGTTCGATTTTTCAGAATTATCTTAATAACGGTAGCCATTTTTCGTAGATGGGGTTGGACATCGAGGAATTGGAGGAGATGGAGGAAGACGCTGGTCTTGGTAATGGAGGTCTCGGTCGTTTAGCCGCTTGCTTCCTGGACAGTATGGCCACGTTGGGATTGGCCGCTTATGGCTATGGGATACGTTACGAGTACGGTATATTCGCGCAGAAAATCAAGCACGGCGAACAGGTGGAGGAACCGGATGACTGGTTAAGGTACGGCAATCCCTGGGAGAAAGCCCGACCGGAATATATGTTGCCCGTCAATTTTTACGGCAATGTGATTGACGCTCCCGAGGGAAAGAAGTGGGTGAACACGCAGGTAAGAAGCCATTTTATCACTTTTCACACGTTTATTTCTGGTTGTGTTCTCGATGACAGGTCATCCTATGCAAAAAGAAGATATATCTGTTATACCGGATAGCTAAACCTGCATAAGCAGATTTTTCGTGCAGTGTCTAAGTATAAATTTTGTCGGTAGCTTGCTAGCGGAAGTACAACGAGATCTGCTAGCAGAGTGTGATAACAGATTGGTGGTAAAAAGCAAGCAGAATCTATAGTATGTTCTAATTAAACACATTCAAATGGTTATGGAACGACAGATCTTGCTCAATTTCTGCAGTCAAATTCTGCAATCTGTTATCCAGTTATTTCAGCGGGTTCTCCGGCGTCATCGACGGAACACGAGCTTAATGCAGGCACTGAATGGCTATGTATCTGCCACGGTATTTTGATCGAATCTGTTGCCAATCTGCCAGCATATTGCTGACATTTTGCTTACTGGAATATAAATATACTGAATGATTTATATTGCTCTGATTAATATGATATTACTATTTCTTAATCCATGCCTTGTGACTTTCGGATGTCTTCTAGTTTGTACTATAAATTTTTTAATTTATATCTTCATAAAATTTTTAAAACCTTTATAAAACATATATGCTTACTCATGACATATATATAATAACATAATATAAAACATAAGTCATAAATAAAGCGTTATTCTATTAGTTCTATCATTTGACAAATATCCGTGAAAAAAACTGCTGAAACTCTGTCCGAGTAAATTGATAAATACCTGAATATTTGAATATTTGGATCTTTAAATATCTGAACTAGCGTTTAGACGTAAATATTCAACATTTTGGCATATATTAATTGATTAATATTATATATCGCAGGTTGTATTTGCCATGCCCTACGACAATCCAATTCCTGGCTACAAGAACAACGTTGTTAACACTCTGAGACTTTGGTCCGCGAAGTCACCAGTAGAATTTAATTTGAAATTCTGTAAGTATCAGTTCCGATCAATTTGTGCGATGCAATAACAGTTCGTCGACGAAGGTATTGCTGATTTATATTGCTTTCAGTTAACGATGGTGACTACATACAGGCTGTGATCGATCGTAATTTAGCGGAGAACATCTCCCGAGTTCTCTACCCTAACGATAACTTCTTCGAAGGCAAGGAGCTCCGATTGAAGCAGGAATACTTTATGGTTGCTGCCACGCTACAGGACATCATTCGACGATACAAGTCCAGCAAGTTTGGCTCGAGGGAGCACCATAGAACCGACTTCTCCGCCTTCCCCGATAAAGTGGCGATTCAGCTGAATGACACACATCCTTCCTTGGCTATTCCCGAGCTGTTGAGGATCCTCGTGGATGTGGAGAAACTTTCCTGGGACGAGGTATGATGGTACTCTGCTTACTTGGCTATTGCTGCGTCATGAAAATAACTGATTCCCTTGAACGCAACTAGAAAAATTTACTGTGAGATTTCACAAAGAAACTTGCCTATTTTAAGTCCCTTTGAGCAGCTAAATAAATCGCATACTGATCGAGAAAAAAGTGATAGACTGTTGACAGTCTGATATCCGTTGCGCATGCTAATACTTGGGCTCAGTATAGCCAGAAGGCCGAAACGGTGGCAAGACGCGGCCTCACCAAGAACAAGATTGTGTCCAGTGTCTGGTGAGATTGCCAGAGCATTATCTCCTACAGCTTTTTGCCTTCTGGCGAAACAATTAACGCAAATGCCCACTGCAACCTGATCAGCAGAAAACGGTCGCACTCGCCGAAAAGCGCCCTGTATTGGTCGGAAGAAAGGGCGTGATTCCGCATCACAATGATGCGCGTCTGCACGTCGCGAAGATCGCCAAGCTGAAGGAGATAGGTTTGGAAATTCTTCCGCACCCGCACCCATATAGCCGGGACCACTTTCTCATTTTTATTTTTTCCGGTCTCTGCAGAAATGTCTGCGAGATGCACGCTTCAATTCGGATGACGAAGTCTGAGAAATGAGGTGATCGCTTTTCTTGACTCAAGAACAGCCGACTATTGTATGAAGGGCATTGACAAGCTCGTATATCATTGGCAATAAGATCTTTGGAAATTATCTTGATGACCAATACAGCATTTTTTTGCTATGAACATTTGAAACGTGCGAGAACTTTCTATTTTACCTGATATTACGTTAATAAATTATGATTGGACGTGTGGAAAAAAGTAAAAGCAAAATATGCTTAGTAATGTTAAAAAGCAAGTGTAAACGTAGGGGAAGAATCAAGCGTTATAAAATAATGAATATAATTATGAATAACATATATATATAATTGAAGTACAGAAAACATAGAAATATTAATTAATAGAACTAGGTTTGATGAAGATTTTTCATTAAACAATTCCATTCATTTCATTAAATTATTTCATCTACAAAAGATATACAAATTTTTTACAGTCGATTATAATAGATAATATTCAAGGTGAAGTCTACAATTTATTTTATCATATGGAAATTTGATTAAAAAACGATATTTACAATCTCAAATGAACAGTATGCATGTGTTCGACTTTTCTTATGCAAAAAGAAATTACGTTTTTGACTGTCTGAAATAAATAAAAACAAACGCAACAGTTGAAATTTATTATGTTTATTGTTGAAAGGAAAGTAAATGTACTTTATTATCAAAAAGCTAATATACTTTAATTTTAATGAGTTCTTTTGTATCGATGCTTATTTGCAGTCGAATAAGTGCAACTAAGTATGAATCACAAGCTTAGTTTGTTCGAGTCAGAATACGCGCCAACTTCATATGGAGCGCAGATCGCAAAGTGTTACAGTAATTTGTTATCCCTTGTCACTGTCTTGGACTCTGAGAAATCTAAATCAAATACAATCAATAATGCCATTTAGAACATTTGTCCAATATTTTAATGAGCATATCTCCGAACAGTATCGATTTAAAAGGATCTATGCTTGATTGATGGTGTTATTTTGATTCTCTAACAATAACTTAGCTACATAATATTTTAGCCAAGTCTCATAGTTGCAAGGAGCCCAAAATAATAAAAAAATATTTAATAATGTAGAAAACGTAGAAATGGAAAAATAAGCAAAGTTCTTTTCGCATTCTACACCCACGCGAACGCTCAGCATCCTCTCTTTTTCAGGCTTGGGACATCACAACACGTACATGCGCTTACACAAATCACACCGTCCTGCCTGAAGCGTTGGAGCGATGGCCCACCAGTATGCTGGAGTCTATTTTGCCGAGGCATTTGCAGATCATTTATCAGATAAACCATTTGCACCTCGAAAGGGTTGCCGCCAAGTATCCTGGCGATATGGATCGCCTTCGTCGGATGTCTCTAATCGAGGAAGACGGCGAGAAGAGAGTCAACATGGCGCATCTATCGATTGTCGGCAGCCACGCCATAAACGGAGTTGCCCGTATACATTCGGAAATCCTCAAAGACAGCGTGTATGTTCCATATTGAGCTGCATCTGTAATTCTACTTGAAGATTTAATTAATATTTTCGTTTAATTTCTATCGGGGCTTTCTAATTAAGAAAAAGCTCTAAAGAGCGTAAAGTTCGGGGAAATCGGTTTGACGGGTCTAATTCACTCTTTCGGTCTGTTTAGCTTCCGAGACTTTTACGAACTGGCGCCAGAAGAGTTTCAGAACAAAACGAACGGCATCACACCGAGGAGATGGCTGCTGCTCTGCAATCCAAGTCTCTCTGATATCATCGAAGAAGTAGGTATCCAGCCACGTATAATGTAACTTTGAATTTTGCCGTAATTTCATCTATCATACGTGGAAAATTCTGCGTGGAAAATTCTTCCGAAAACAATTCTGCGGAAGTTATCTGTGTAACTTAATTTTAGAAAATTGGCAGCGAATGGACGGTCCATCTGGAGCAGTTGGCACAGCTGAAGAAATGGGCGAAGGATTCCGTCTTTCAGCGTAACATCGTTAAAGTTAAGCAGGAAAACAAATTGCGATTGGCTCAAATTTTGGAGAAAGAGTACGGCGTTCAAGTTAATCCAGCATCTATCTTCGACATTCAGGTGAGAATCGGCGAAGATTTTTTCAATATGCAATGATATTTACACACGATGCACGAATTCAACGACGTTTAGCTCGACATAATAATAGATGAGTTAATTGTAAATTGTTACGTCGGTAGGTGAAACGAATACACGAGTACAAGCGGCAACTGTTGAACTGCCTGCACGTCATCACCCTGTACAATCGAATAAAAAGGGACCCGTCCTCGCCATTTGTCCCCAGAACCGTGATGATAGGCGGCAAGGCCGCGCCGGGTTATCATTTGGCAAAAAAGATCATCAAGCTTATCTGCAGCGTCGCCAAGATCGTCAACAACGACCCGATCGTCGGCGACAAGCTCAAGCTGATCTTCCTTGAGAATTACCGGGTGACCTTGGCCGAAAAAATCATCCCCGCTGCGGACTTGAGCGAGCAGATCTCGACTGCTGGCACCGAAGCATCTGGCACCGGCAATATGAAGTTTATGGTCAGTAACTTTTGGTAGGGGGACAAAGTTAAGATTGCGTGTTCTACTTATAAGTCTGTTGACTTGTGAGCTATCGACAAATAATGTCGACGGTAAATTTACCTGTAGAGAGAGGTTGAAACCGAATAATTTTATTATTTTGCGATTTAAGGTGGAGATCCTAATATTTGAACATGCACCCAACATTGGACATTCTCAGGCCGGTTCATAGTCAGATCTTATATTAAAGATTGTCTTAAGTTTATCTTCAGATGTTTCGTAATCAAATGAAATGCAATGAAATGCACCGTAGAATATCTGAAGGTAAACTTAAGCCGTTCCTGAATATAAGATCCGACTATGAATACCGACCTTAGTCTCAATTTACAATAGATATTTTAAGCCTTAAGAAATTGACCAATCACAATCGAATGTAAGGAGAATAATCGATTGTTATTGGTCGTCTTTTTTTTCAGTCTTAAGACTTAAAACACTTATAAACTGGACTTGTTATTCTGGTCTTCAAGTACGGATACTTAAACTTTCAACTGAAAATATTCACTTTTCGATCTTATCTTGATATTTATTACTCTTGATACTTTTATACGTAAAAAACGAGATAAGTCAATTTAATTTTATCGGAAAGTTCTTTGTGCAATTTAGAGTTAATTTTTCCTCGACAAAAATTTTTCTTCAACAAGGTATCAATAGTTTTCAAGATGCAAGCGTAATCGGAAAAGCGAGGCTTTCGGCAGATTAAACTTCAAACTATCAAATGGATAGGAAAATTATTTTCTTAGGTCAATTTCAAATGAACTTTAATAGAAGTTTATTTTTAACATTAGTCACTAAGATATGTTAAACACTGATAAGTCGCCATGAATAATACTTCTTCGATATTTTTCATGAGGAAAAATTTTCTCCAAGTTGCTCGGAAAATTTTTAAATAAAATTAAGGTAAAAATAAGGATGCGAGGTCTGGGATACTTTCGTTTTAAAAGTTGAAATATTCATATTAAGACCAAAATAATAAAAACGTCCAGAGTTTAGATACGTGTCTGGGCATTGATACTTTTACCGTGCCTTACCAAACGTTGCATTCTATCATGATTCTATTTATTCTCATCCAAGTCAAAATCTGATTCGTTCGGAAAATAAAATTGTACGTTACGATCACAGTTGAACGGTGCGTTGACCATCGGCACCTTGGACGGCGCTAATGTAGAAATGGCAGAGGAAATGGGCAATGAAAACATCTTCATATTCGGCATGACAGTGGAGGAAGTGGAAGCGCTGAAGAAGAAAGGTTACAATGCTTACGATTATTACAACAAATTGCCTGAAGCGAAACAATGTATCGATCAAATCCAAGGAGGCTTCTTCAGTCCGAATAATCCCGATGAATTCCGAGATATCGCCGATGTGCTTCTCAAGTGGGACAGGTTTCTACTCTTGGCTGATTACGAGAGCTATATAAAAATGCAGGAACGCGTCAGTCAGATCTATCAGGTATCTATCTAATTGAAGATCTGTAACGGCCGGAACTCGGATAACAGTTCGTTTTGCGCGTTAATTGGTTCGGATTTCGTTCGCCGAATTTGATGGAAGAAGCATGAACTTGCATGCAAAGAAATTTTCACAAAATACGTCGAAATAACAAGATATGTTCATAAAATGACATTTGTGATCGATCGAATATATTAATAAATATTCCGAAAACTTACCTTAGGCTCTGATAGTAACTAAAATTAACACGACACACTTTTTCTTAGCCCATCTTTCCTCTTATAATTTTGTCACGTTAATTTTACGGCAATTTACTGATTATTAAAACAAAAGAAAGTTTTTTTCAGAATATTTTACTTATTAATCAGTCGACCGATCACAAACGTCATTTTATGAACATTTATTTTCCTTTTATTTCAACGCATTGCGCAAGAATCTTTGGCATGCGTCTTCTCGCTTCTGACGTTATTAATCAAGATGATCGCGACGGGGAAACAGAAGCCTCGAACAATCGAATCTTTGCGGCGCATATCATATTATTAAATACGTACAACAACACTTAACACCGCTCGATTATTTCAGGACGAATGCAAATGGGTGGAGATGGTGATTCACAACATAGCATCATCAGGGAAATTCTCGTCGGATCGCACGATTGCGGAATATTCGCGCGAGATCTGGGACGTCGAGCCGAGCTGGAAGAAACTTCCGGATCCGCACGAGCCTCGTGATATTTAAACACATCGACGTGACTACTACTTTTTCATAATGCGTTCCGAGATAACGCTCGTTCCCTCCCATGACTAACTCTGTCCAGTTGTCACCGACGATAAACGAACTCAAGGTCAATAATAACTGATACTGTTCAGAATCGATCGTACAAAAGCAATAGAGATTATATTGCGTGCGAGGACACGTAATATCTACTATACCTATATATTTTACGGATACATGTTTTTCAGGAATGCGAAATCTCGAACGATGAACACTCGCGCTTATTTAAATGTGTCGCATGTCTTCCGAGATATTTAATAGCTGTTCATATTTTTTCTATGTTCAAAGGAACGTTATACCGACGCACAACGATTTCTCCTGCGATGTATTTTACGTGTTATCACGCGGGCATCTACTTCGAACAGCTATTGACTCTTAATTACCTTCGGTCATTGAAATAAAGAACATACTGGAATGAGCACCACCTTTGTTTCTGGCAGATGACCTCGTGCCGAGAGAGAAAGTATCTTAAGTAATATTTCCGTCTTTGTCTTATCTTAGCCTATGTACACTACATAACATATTAGTAAGACAAAGAGTGAGATACTATTTAGACGTGGCCTTTGTCGCACAGCCTCTCTAATGGACCACGGCCGCCACCACGTCAGTGCTCATTCCAGTATATTCTTTAGTTCAATGCTTTTGGTACTGTATATACTTCCGAGGTTGATATCGACAGTATGAAATTTGCTCGTTTTAGAACGATAAATATAATATAAAATTTACTCGATATTGCTTGGAAACAATCTGCATTTTTCTTTATTTTAAAATTGTTCAGTTTAAGTACGTCTTGATCTCTCTCTCTCTCTCTCTCTACACTCCCTTTCTTTCTCTCTCTGAAATTTAAATCTAATAGTTTCATCATTCTAATAATCCATTTCGTAAGTAACGAAATGAATCTTGATCTGAGATTTAAATTTCATGGCTTTAACATGCTGATAATTAATTTCGTAATTAACGAAATGAAGACCGTGATTGTGGATCATATGAGAAAGTGTATATCGTAATATGCTTATGTAATGTGTGTTCTTGGAAACAGTAGTACGTTCTGTATGTCGTATTCTGAACGCGCTTACAACAATGTTAGCGCGCTAATGAGACAAGAGATGTGAGGATTCTCGGTGTCGTTTATTTTTTTAAATGTGGTTAACAGTGCTCTCTTAGGAAAAATCAATACTCGTGCGTATTTATAGTAAAATTCCTATTGAGAACTACTGATAAGTAGACCTGTTAACGCGCCAATATCGTTGTAAACGCGTTCAGAATACGAGCTAATATTTCCATCGAAAGGATGATAAGATTCGACCGTAAAAATACACGGGCCGACATCTTTGAGCAAATTCAAGTATTAACTCGCAACGGTTGTGCTTTAATGTTGATTTTACATCAAGTAAAATCGATCGAAAACTTTTAATAAGATAAATAATTTATATTAACTAATTGAGCAAATTTCATGTCGTGTAATGTATCATTCGCTGCGTCCGTGCGTCACTTGTGAAATTTCAAAACACACAAAATACAAAAATACTTCTTCAGATGTGAGAAATTCTTATTCGTACGACAAATATGAGACGTCGGTCGTAAGCGAGGAGATATAAGATGAATGTCTTTATCTTATTCTTAAGATCAACTGTGCTCATTTTTATTATAAAAATTATTTGTGCTAATTGTAAATCATGTGGTTCCGTAGAATACTTGTATGCTACAAATGGTTGTACAAAGTTTAGATGATATACTATATATCCCGAAAAAATATTTTATCCTGCTGGATATAAAAACTATATTGTGAGTGTTCTCGAAAATAAAGTTTAAAAGACGAGATATTTCAAGGAAAACAACTCTCACTCCTCTGACTAACTCTGACATAAACTTTCGTAAAGTTCATATCGCTATTTAACTCGGCAGATATTGACAATGATTAAATGTTAACGATATCAATATTCCATATTGCACGAATCCAGAAGTGTGGAGCCGAAAATTCGAAACTCTAAAAACCTAATGCAAAAAATGCCTCTTCAAGTGTGGCTTTGCGTCTCTCAAATCAAATATTAACACTTCGATGGACGTATTTCGGGAAAATGTTTTACTGTCACCGATAGATTTTGAAAGCTCGTTTAGATAATATCTATAAATAAAGAGACGGTATCTAAACATCCTCCTTGTACGTGAACCCATTAATCCAACTTTATAATATCTATCTATATCTTCTATAATATCACAATACTCCTTGTAAATTGTCATTAGCGAGAAATATTTCGTTATAAGACTATAGTCGCTGACAAAATGAAATCACGTACGCATTACGACCGGAGAATGATCGCAGATTTCGCAGATTTTTCTCTAACTAAACGGAGGACTCGCTAAACATGTAAGTATAAATAGATGAAATTACCATTTTAATGGAAATCATTACATAACTCGTCTATAATACAAGTAGGGTTGTGTTCTAAGTCAGAAAGAACACTGGATTGCCAAATTCTTTTTTTTCTTCATATAATTATTCTCACTCTGTCCATAAATTTATCAGCGAGATATTGCAAGGAATAATTTGCGAAAACAAGATAAAAGCGTTAGGAATATTTTCAACGTTATAATTTATATGGGAAAAAAGAGATGTTAAAAATTTGGTTTCGCCCCGCAAGAACGCCCATCTAAATACGAGCCTGTCAAGGTTCGTGACATGACGTAGCTTGATGCACAAACTCTCATGGGAAAAAATGTCCCCATCGCTGGCTCTCAAGTTTCTCTCTGGTAGTATTATAGACATAAAGTGGCCCGTATTCTGAACGCGCTTACAACCATCAACCGGACGGAGCATGCGGCAAGATTTCTTTGATCTTTCGTATTGAGAGACTTAGAAATTTTCTGTGTAGGCACAGGTCTTTCTACTCTCTGTTCAGTGGTTGAATTTTATCTAAGGAGAAGGGGAACAGTATCGTATTCTTAACCCTTTTTGCCCGGCTGATTCCAATTGTAATCACTAACTTTTAAGTTCCCACACTGTAACTCTTGCCGTGCCCAAAGCCAAAATAAATTGAAAGAAACATTTTTTTTCACTTGCAAAAATAAATTCAGGCCAGAAAGGGTTAAAAGTTGGGAACATTCTTGACGTTACTATATATATGAGTGATATGACATACGTTATATATACTCTATAAACATTTTTATGTTTCAACTTTTCCTTCTTCCTTGTATCCTTGTATCCTATATTCTTACCGGCTATAAAAAACTATTACTATACTAAGCTACTACTATAAAAAAAAATTAATTAAAATAATAGAATTGTAAATGCCTCATGATCTCGTTGTTCTATAAACCGTTCCTACCTATACATCGTCCTGTCTCTTTCTACGTCTGTCAATACGATTTCGGCCCAATGCTCCGTCCAGTACTATATGCCGATGAAAGCACCACTAGCTCTATTGCCTTCTCTTACTAATGCCGTCTTTAGCCCTCCAATGGGAGTGCTCGGTCTACTCTATGCTATATATCTATGCTGGTAAGGGAGCTGCGCCGTCTAACGCGCCGCAACCCGGCAACATCGACTCACGCGCCGGCACTCCGTCTCACATCGTCGACGGTGCATGCCTGATACGAGCGGCTATAGCCGTTCGCAACATTTCATTTAGAAAAATATTTGAGGCGGGACATCCTGTATATAAGCATTGTATTAAAATAAATTATAGACTTGTAAAAGTGAAATCGTAAATATATCGGTAACAGAGCCACGTTTTGAGACTTATAAAACCATTTATTTATTCTTATATAGATTCTGTGACACAGATAAAAATAAAGTCTTCCTTCGTCAATTTGCCTTTAACACATTCCATACCGCGTTAATTTTACATCGACTTTCCACGCACGCTATTTAAGTTGTTAACATAAAAATATTTGTTTCGCTTTATAATACAATTTGTACCTTCTTTTTTCTTAATAATCAAAATTTTTATATAATTTTGTAAGTATTATAAGACATATCCTTATAAACGCATATAATAACTTTATAAACATATGTATAGGTTTGGTAACATGGATCATCTATCACCTACGCAGTACAGAACGTGTTAATAAATGTTATCTGCATATATCCTACTTGTATTTGTTTTGCACAATAGCTCACTTATCCCTCTTCTTCTGGGCCCGTTTGTTACCGCAACGTTGTAAAATCTCAGTAATGGGTTGTTTGTGTTGAAATATAGCGTTGAGTTGCAAACGTGCTTCATTCATGCCCTCACTGATTAAAGTACTGCGTTGCAAATTCCCTTTAATCAAGTCATTTACACGTTCGAGCCCATCAATATGTCTGCTTTTAGAAGTTTGCTGCGATTCGAGTAGCATTAGCGTCATTTTTAATTTTTCGTGTGCCTAAATAAACAAAACAATTATAAAGTAAATTATTGACTCTAATTACACAATTACGGTGAGTCATAGCTCCTATTTCATTGAAAAAAGAAAAAAAATTGAAAGAGTTAAGGAGACATGACGTTCTATAATATATTTTATTTAATAATAATATATGCTATGTAATATAAATAGCAATTTATAGTGTTATAATAATGTACATCAGAATATAACTTTCTTTCCTGACCAAACTTGTGTTACTCAACATAATACCCGGGTGAAAATAATTTTCTAAATTTCTCCAAAAAGTCTATAAATTGGAATATTTTCAGAGAAATATAGAAAAAATAAGAAAAAAATGCATTTTTCTAAAATCTCTATTCTCTGATAATTGCAGAATTTTTTTCATTTTCTCTAAATATTAGATTGTAAGATAAATTCGTCCCGTTTTTTAGTGTTTTTAAAATCATTTATTTGCATATTCGGTAATAAGCTCGATCAATTATGTATGTAACATAGGTATGTGTGTAACGTTTACACAACATCAACATTTTGATCGACGACCTTCCATCTTTCTGGTAGCTGAAAGATTCCTCTCTTGTAGAATTCCAAGGACTTGTTAACAAAAAACTGATCCAAGTGGTCTTGGCAGGAGTTCAAATTTGGTAAATTTACACAATTAGAAGAGTTCTACAAAGTTCTAAACAAATGGATATAAGTCTGAAGGTGCAAGATTCGGGCTATATGGTGGATGCGCTAAAACATCCCAGCCAAGTTGCAACATTTTTTTCCGATTCTCCATAGAAACATGTGGTCTAGCGTTGTATTGGTGAAACACAACAACTCTTTCTCTTGGCCAACTCTGGCCTCTTCCTGTCAATTGTGCTTCCTTCAGTTTGACTAATTGTGAGCAGTACTTAAGCCCATATCACAATACGGATTGGAGATCGAGATTGAATTGAAATTTGATCAAACAGTGTAAAGTTTACTAAATTTCACTAAATTTCGGTTCAGTTTACTTTGCACCGATTGGCCAAATTCAACATAATCTGAATCCGTAGTCTGATACGGGCTTTAGTGGAATCAATAGTTTGGTTTGGTGGCAGTAGCTCGTAATACCTGATACCCTTCCAATCCCACCACACACACAGCATGACCTTCCTTGCAATTCAGCCTTTGCGATCGTCTGTGCTGGCTCACCCCGCTGTGACCCGCATGATCTTTTTCAACTAACATCGTTGTATTGAATCCATTTTTCATCGCCAGTAATGAGCTGTTTAAGAAAACATTCATTTTCATTACGTTTGAGTAACGAATCGCAAGCAGAAATCCGGTCCGTTAAATTTTTGTCACTCAACTGATGCATCCAAGCTATCGAGCTTCTTGATCATTCCAAACTGTCGTAAATATTTCGAAACAGTAATGACAGCAATATTTAGCGCTTGACCAATCTCACGTGTCATCAAATGGCGGTTGCTATCAATCATGGTCTTAATTTCATCCACGTCTGTGGTGACAGGCCGTCCCCGGCACGAGATGCATCTTTGACATAAAAATCTCCCTCTTCAAATTTCTCCGGAATCACTTTCCGTACGTCGAATCCATATCCACAGCATCGGCTCCATATACAGCACACATTTTTTTACAAGTTTGCGACGCATTTTTGCCTTTTCGGTAATAAAAAAGTATAATATGACGAAAATATTCTTGATTTTCTGACATGTTTTGAAATATTACAAGAAACGTTAGGGCTCATTGATCACAATAAAATTGTATTAAATTGACGGTTGAAATGTCACTTTTAATGTGAAAGATAATATTTACGCGTGTAATGTTTGTAACGATACAAAAAAGCGAACGTTCTGTTACCAAGCGGAGAAAAGGGGACGAATATGTCTTATAATTTAATATTTTCTTGCAAAGTACTGAAATTTTCTGAGAAAATATATGATTATAATTTATCATTATAAATACACAGAAGTTAAGAATTAGTTGGAATTATTTTATCTTACTTTTACAAATTTACAATGAATTAGAATGAATTGAAAATTTTTTATACAAAAATCAAATTTTTATTTTCATCTATAATAAACCCAAACAGACTTCTACGAAACGTTCTAAGGACGTTCTGAGGAAATCTCGACGTCCTAACAGTAAGGACGCCCAACGACGTCTTTTAGAGATTGCAGGCTGCCTATGAAATAATGAAAATATCTAACAAACTTTGAAATTCTCTTCTCAGGTAACAGAATTTTTCGAACTATTTCATATACGTTAAGATATCAGAGATTTTCAGAATAATTTTAAATTTTTCGGAAACAATAGGTAATAAAATACTTTTTGCTGGAAAACATTGTATTTCTTCCGTTAATCTTCTTTTGTCTTATATTTTTAATACAAAAATGGACCTCTTATGTTAAAATTATATTTTCTAATTTTTTTAAATAAAATTGTAGTTGAAAATATTTTGTGAAATTTCAATTTTTTCTACCAAATCAAATGATTTTGTAAAAGAAATTACAATTTCAAAAAAGTGAATTATTCAACATTTTTCAGAAAACTTCAATTTCTTAAAAAAAATTCTGGAAAATCTAATTTTAACGTAAAATGTCCATTTTTGTATGAAAAATATGAGACCGGAGAAGATTAAAGGAAAAAAATATAATATTTTCTTAAAAAGTATTTTATTTCTTCATTTTTCTGAAAAATTTAAAATTATTCTGAAAATCTGATTTTTTTTAACCCATTTGCATCCGTAAGCGGAATATTCCGCGCATGACGATCGTCACCTATCACCGAGCGCGGAATATTCCGTATATGACACAGTTCACGTTTTGTTGTCAATCTGTGAACATTTGAGCTATTTTCATTGCATTCTTAATTATTCGGAAGTCATTTACTGTAGAAATTTACTGTGTACTGTAGAAGTTAACGAAAATAATAATATTGCCGATATACGGCCGCGCGCGGTGTTACGGGCCAACCGTCAGTTGAACGTCGCTGATGTCTGAACACAGAAACTTAAGTAGAGTCATGATGCAAATGGGTTAACGAATATGAAGTTCGACAAATTTCTGTTATAATATGTAAAGAGAATTTCAAAGTTCGTTAGAAATTTTCATTATTTTACTACAGACAAAAGAGAAAATTTGATTAATGCAGAAAAAAGTTTCTGAATTTTTCTAAAACATTCTAAAAAATATCTTACTTTCTCTGAAAAGATCAATTTTTAGAAAAAATCGGAAATTGTTTAAAAAATAATTTTCACCAGAGTATAAGCGTCAAGAAGCTGAAATCTATTCGTTTAAAATCCTGCGCAATAATTTTCTGCACAGATGACGCTTGACGCTCCCATATAAAGGTTCTTATTAACAAAAAGAATCGATTTATAAAAAAATATAGTTAAAAAAATTAAAAAATATAATTGCATATTTTCTGTGTTTATTTATATTTATGAAAAAACGAGTCCATAGAAAAGATTTTGTTATACTATTCAATTTTTATTCATCTATTTTAATTCTTCCATCTTCAAGAAAACATGCTACAATCCGTATCCATTGCATAATTTTATCTTAGTATTATAGTATTTTTTGCCTATACTATAGTATTATATACTATAGTATTTTTTGCCTATATATTATCTATATTTTATCCATATCAGGGTTTCCCCCTATAAATGATCATCTCCTTTTATCTTTTAAACTAAAAAGGATAATCCATAATAAATATGTATCAAATCAAATAATTTTAACTAAACTCTATCGTGAGCATGGTGGTTGTCCATAAAAATTATTTAAATTAGGGGACAAAAAAGTATGCATAATTTTTTATGGTAATATAGGTAATTCGATACAATAAGAATTGTAGATCTGTTTATAACGTATACAATGATGTATGATAGAATTATTTTACGAGTTCTACAAGTTTTGTCGGTTGTCAAGTTTCACGAATAATTTCCACTATCTTTACATTTTCATTCTTGACGTATTTAACCAATTTCCGATTCCTGCGCTAGCAGCTGATATATATGTCACTTAATTGCAGTATTTGATGTATACAGAGTGAACATAAGTATTTCAACTTTTAACATAATAAGTATTTTAACTTTTAACATAATAAGTATTTCAACTTTTTATCATGCAATATTAGTTATCGATGATAATTATAATTGATTGAACAGCGTGAAGCCTGCACGCATTTGTATATCTATATCTTTTTTAACGTGGTTATAACAGTAAAGCATGTTATAAGTATTATACTTGTAATGATTATTTAATTATGTATAAGTATTATTTACTATTGTTATATATTATAATATTTATAACCACGTGAAAAGATGAAGATATGCAAATGCGCGCAGGCCATCTTCACGATACTTGATCAATTATAATTACCGTTGATAGCCAATATTGCATGGTAAAAAGTTGGAACATTTACTTGTATATTCACTCTGTATAAAATATATTAAATTTAGCGTCATATGTTAACCGGTAATGTACAGGAGTCGGAAGTTGGTCATACAGTAGGACCGAAATGGTAAAAATAGTAATTATCCATGAAATTTTACATCGACAAAACTTGTAGAATTCGTAAAAAAAGTCCGTCATATCGTACATCGTTATATTCGTTACAAACAGCGCTACAATTTTTATTACATTGAAATATCCATATCACCGTAAAAAATTACTTTTTTGTTCTCTAATGAAAATAATGTTTACAAACAACCACTGTATTCGCAACACAGTTCATTTAAAGTCATTTAATTTAATATATATTTGTTAGAGTCTATCTTTTTTTAAAACAGAGTTTAGAAGATGAAAGGGGGTGGCTATTTATAATGGGACACCTTATATATTTAACTATTAAACTGTTAAAATATTCAAACTATTTAAACTATTTAAACTATTTAAACTATTTAATTATTAAAATAAACAACTTCCCCTTACTTGTTTCTCAAGCTCTGCAAACTCTTCCATTTGCGCAGAGAGATGATAAACTTTCCATCCATTAAGTTTTTGTAATACATGCTTCTGTTGTGCCAGTTCGGCAACTGTAGGTCTTCTCTCTTCACGTGGTCGAACATCACTCGGTCTTCTGTAATGATGTAGCCTACTATTTCCATACTTATTTTTCCAAAAACCTGAAAAATATGCAGTGTATAATAAACATATTAAATTTGAACATATACACGTGGAATGAAACTTAATATAAGATTCGTATGTACCTCCTAACAAACTTGGCATAGGCCGCAACCGTATTGTAACTTCTGCTTGTTGAGTAGGTGATTTAATGTCTCTATGCACATTGGGAGTATGTTTCTTGTCAGGCGACTTTTCTTTCAATTCTTCTTTTATTTCTCTCTTTGCTTTTTGTTCGGTGAAAAATTCCATTACCACTTCTGTACATCTCGGTTCGGTTAATTCTACGCCCGTGAGTTGTTGTTTGCGAGGTTTCTTCCTCGGTGACATTTCTCCAGCAGGATTAATCGTAATTCTAGATTGTTCCAGTTCTTCGTCAAGACCCGGTGAGGACGTCGCAGATACAGTTGTGGACCCTGAACTTGGACAACCGCCACCATCCTGATCTCCTCTCGGAGAACACGGTGGACTAGAAGTCGATCTACTCGATGGTAATGACGCTAATAGAGGAACTAGATTTTTAGCTGCACCTGTGATATAATTAAAAGAAATTATCACCCTTCAATATACAATATAAAATTCATAACACATACAGGTAATATATACTCTAGAATTCATATCTATGGAATATACTGTGCTGTTTTGTACCAGAAGAAGCAATTTTCCCTTGTAACAAAATGACGTCTGAGCAAATTTTTTAAAAGAGAGCAGCTTGAGATCCATAAATAAACGTAAAAGCTTTCTTACGAGTGAATCAAAAGCATCACGCGCTTCATAATCATTAGAGTCATGAAATAATCCTGACTCATTATGTTGTGAACATATATACAAGCTATTTACTTTATATTTCGTCCAAGATTTTGTTATACAACCATGTGCATAATATCTGAATATTATTATTATTTTAAATAAAACTTACACAATAATAAAAAATTCTCTTATTGTGATATCATTGAAACGACAAATAAATTTAACTGAAAACAAAGTAATTGAATTGAATAAAGCATAAATAATTTTATATGTAAGCTGTTTCAAATATTTTACCATGTTTTAAAAATATTTGTGGCTTTGAAAAAAAAACCAATTAAATTTTTTAAACAAATTTATGTAATAATTTAGGCTTCAGTGATATGAAGAAATGCTTAATTTGGCTTTCCAGGTAGCGCTGCGTTTTTTATGAATTCGTTTCCAACGTTTCATGAATATTCCAGTTCACTTCTTTAGGAAGAGGTACGACTTAAAAATGTTTAAAATAAACGCTCCAAGTGGAGGCCTTACATTTATATGCAAGTATAAGTTTTGTGAAAGTATCTGTTTTGTGAATAAGATTTTTTGCACACGTTGAATTATTCCCAACATGATAATTACTATCATTTCCCTCCAATATTTTGCCAAATTCTGCGCCAATCAAATTCTTTAAATGTTTCTATAGAACTCTTTCAGGCTCGACAGTCGAACCGCCAATCGCTCTGCTTCAAGAGCGTTCCTCTGTATGAGACACTGTTTGTTGAGTATCTTCCGCCAAACCGTTATTAAGATATTTTTCTTGCAAAGTAATTGTTATCTTCATAAATGAATAAACACAAAATTTGCTAGTAATATATATGCAGTAATATATATGTTATCTACGATAGCAATCTACGATAATATAGTATGTAATCATTTTAAATTTCATTGTTTTTCATAACTCTAGTAATTGTAATCAAATGATCTTGTCACCATATTATTGTAGAACATATATAATAATTTACTGATAGAAAATTTGTTTATTTAAGATTTAATGTTTTGTTTTTCAAAAATAACAACCAACTATTTTGCGAGGAGAATATCTTAGTGACGGTTTGATGGAAGGTATCCAGCATGTGCCATAAACGGGTCTACAATACGAGGTCTGTTCAAAAAGTATCGCGAATTTTAAATTTCCGCGGGTTACGTATATTCGATTTTAGATTTTTTTGTGGCGTTATGTTGGTACTCATGTCCCTCACTTATGCCGACAAGTTCGGCCATTTTGAATATTCAGTTTATCTTTAACAGCTGTTTTGCTTGGACGTGTTTTGGCTCGTCTTCGATTTTTGCCTATTCCAAAAAATGGATCAAAGAATCTAACAAAATTAAGTGCGCGGACGCATTCCGAACGTTGACTGTGGCATATGGTGAAGCTACCTTGGACCGAAGCAACGTTTATCGGTGGTACAAAATGTTCTCAGAGGGCCGAGAAGATGTGAACGACGAAGAGCGTGCCGGACGCCCGAGCACGTCAACAACAGACGGAAACATTGATGAAGTGAAGAAAATAGTATTGGCCAATCGTCGAATCACCGTTAGAGAAGTTGCTGAGGACCTAAACATATCGATTGGCTCGTGCCATTCGATTTTTACTAATAATTTGGGCATGAAACGGGTCGCCGTGAAATTCGTACCAACGCCCCTGCTCACACATCGTTGCTTGTGCGCGAATATTTGGCCAAAAACAACACACTAATGATGCCGCAGCCACCGTATTCCCCAGACCTGGCCCCCTGTGACTTTTTCTTGTTCCCGAAACTGAAGAGGCACATGAAAGGACAACGCTACGCTACGATTGAGGAGATAAAGACGGCATCGAAGGAGGAGCTGAACAAGATCACAAAAAATGATTTTTTGAAGTGCTTTGAGGATTGGAAAAAACGTTGGCACAAGTGTATAATATCTGATGGGGATTACTTTGAAGGAGACAAAATAGATATTCATGAATAAATAAATAATTTTTGAAAGAACACAAAATTCGCGATACTTTTTGAACAGACCTCGTAGATGCTTTAAAGGCTTAAGGCTTAAAACTCTATTGAAGACCTAGCCTTAGTCCTAGTCTACAATAGGTGCTTTAAGCCTTAAGCCTCAAGAAATTGATCAATCACAATCAAATTATAGAAGATTAATCAATAGTCAGTTTTTTAACGCCTAAAACTCTATTGTAGAGCCTAATAAAGGAGGGATAAACGTTTAGCCTAATAAACGGAGGGATATTCTTGAGGTAGAGCGATCGGCAACGTGGCCGTCAAGTCTGGAGTAGTAGTGAGAGACAATAAGCCTTCGAAATCGGGCCGAAAAGGGCATCTAATTCTGAGCACCTTTTTGAAGTATTATAGTGAAATTTCTGATGAGTACTATTATATGCGACTTTGAAACAAACGGTGCGCGGCACGGAAACATGGCTCACTCTGCGCGCCGGTAGACGAATTCAATGTAAACATCCTTACGATGTTTGAATTCTGGAAAGGTAATAACAAACTCAGAAGCAAACGCAGCGCACACTCAGAAGAGTGATAAAAGTTACAATTCCGATGTTTGCATGTTTGCTCCTAAACATATATACTGCGACCTAAAAATCATCAAAATAGTTGCAAAAATGGCAGCTGCCATTTTTAATGATGGATATCATTCCAAATTGCAATGTTCCAATTTATGGTGTTGGCGCACGCCCGAAATTTTCAAACGGCCCGGGCAGCCGAAGTTTAATGAACTTTGTTCTGATTGGCAAAATTCCAATCCAATCTCAATCCTAATCCGTAGTCTGACACGGGTTTAAGTCCTGGTTGGACTTAGAATATGTGCGAAAATGCACAAGAGGCGCATGATTTGCGCGCAAGTCTAAAACGGGGTCCACAATGAGAATTTAAGCTCTAAGCCTTAAGAAATTGACGAACCAGTTGATTATTCTTCTATAATTCGATTGTGACTGGTCAATTTCTTAAGGCTTAAAGCTTCCATTGTAAACTAGGACTAAGACTTGTGTGGACTTAGAATATGCACGAGAGCACAAGGGGCGATTAAGTTGCACGAGAGCCTAAGTCTTGTGCGAACTTAATGTGTGCATCTCTCGTATGCAACGAGATTATCTCGTTGGAAAAGAAGTTCGTTCATTTCAAGGTTCGCAAAGTAACGATTATATTCGTTATTGTACAAACTGAGCGAAAAGAATGTAATGGACCGGACTTCAGCTTGTGATTCGTTGCTCAAACGCCATCAAAACGAGCAATTTTTAAAGCGGATGATCACTGGTGATGAAAAGTGGATTGTCTACAACAATGTCAGTCGGAAAAGATCATGGTCGAAGCTCGGGGAAACTGCTCAGACGGTCGCAAAGGCTGGATTACACCCGAAGAAGGTCATTCTCAGTGAGATTGGAAAGGAATCGAATATTATGAGCCGTTGCCACCCAACAAAACGATTGATTCGACCAAGTACTGCTCACAACTGGCCAAATTAAAGCGAGCAATCGACCAGAAACGGCCCGAATTGGCGAACAGAAAGGGCGTTGTGTTCTACCAGGACAACGCTAGACCACACGTTTCTCTGATGACCCGGCAAAAGTTATTGCGGCTTGAGTGGGATGTTTTAGTGCACCCACCGTCCGGACCTTGTACCTTCAGACCATCACTTGTTCCGGGCGCCACAAAACAATTTGAATAACAAAACTTTCAGTTCCCTGGACGTCCTCAAAAACCACTTGGATGACTCCTTTGCCCAAAAATCTCAGGACTTCTATGAAAGAGGAATAATGAAGTTCGTAGAGAGATGACAGGTAGTTATTGAACAGAATGGAACATATTTAGTTGATTAAAATCGCTTTTTACGCTAAATATTTTGCGTTTGAAATTTACTCGATTTTCGCTACGGAATTATGCATAGACCAAATATTAATTTTTTATTAATTTCGTACGTTTGGCCAATAAATTTTTGTTAAATACACTGTTTATTTTGTCCGAATTTAGCTGACGCACCCTGTATAGATATGTATACAACGACTAAAGGATGGTTCGACACGTTGGGAGAGGATGGAGAGGAAAAAGAGAAAAGATTTGGAATGATGAACTTAATGATGTAAAATACATTGAGAAAGCTCTGGAGAGAGAACTGAGAATAAGGAGGATTAAGAGGAAGAAGATAAATAGAATAGTTCGGTGAAGGTGGGAGAGTAGGAGAAGATAAATGTTATTTGTTTAGAAGATTATGTGTCGAAGGATTAAGTATATTATATAAAAGAATGGAAATGTACAGTAATAATTAAAAGATATATAAAGATAGGCTGTGAGAACTGCGATATTTCTTGTGATACATGTTGTGGTATTAGAGTAATGCTGTGATATTAGCATAAGAATATTAAGGATAAGAAACTAAATTGTGAAGGTTTATATTTAATGGAATAGATGGATGAATGTGAATAAGGAAAGTTTTGTAAACCAAATCTCCTTCTTGGCAAAACAGCTAAAGTAATAAAATATTTATCTACAAGTTAACAGCATATATTATGAAATAGAAAAACAATGTTTATGAGCTTATCTTTATGAGCATAGCTAAGAAGTTTCTTATGTTTTTTTTATTCAAATGTTAAATTCTGCGGACATGTACTTACATACACCGTGGTAATACATAATTAAGTCAAAATTTCTGTTATGTAAACAACACTAACCGAGTATTTATCAAGTATTGGGTAGACAGACGTGTTGTAATAGTATGTGTTGTGATGAGTAAACGAAAGAATATAACAGAACAACGTCGGCAAGTGCAGCAGCTTCGCAAAATTGGGAAGTATTATCGGAAGATTTCTACAGCCCTTGAAATATCTATTATAGCTTGTTATCAAGCTACGTAACACTAAATGTCATGGAACAATAGACAACGTTTCTCATAAAATAAAACGAACAACTACGAAAAAACCACTTAAGAACTGACTGTAAGATTCATTGATTATCTAAATCAGATTTAAAATTGCAATCAATATCCACGCTGAAATATCATTAAACCTTGATATAAAAAATAAATGTTAGAACTGTTCGGCGTAAATTGAATGTATTTCGATTAAACGGAGACGTTGTCAGAAAGAAACCGTTCATACCAGAAAAAATCGCCGAACTAGCATCGCTTTTGAAAGAATATTTCAATTGGACGCGACAATGATCCAGAATTACTTCTACTAACGAATCTAAGTTTAATCGACTCGTATCTAATAACAAAATATATATGAGAAAATATATATAAAATATATATGAGACGTCACAAGGCTATCGCAAGAATTGTATAAAACCAACAAACCAATAAAAGGTAGTGGTGAGTCGGTAGTTGTATGGGTTCTTATTAATAGTACAAATCCTATTTGTAAAATAAAAGGAATCATGGACAGAATTACGTACTTGAACATCGTAGAAAATGTTTTGCTTTCATTTGTTAAAAAATATATGCCGGAAGAATGGATCTATCAAACAGATAATGATCAAAAAAACAAGGCACGCATTGTCGAAATATTTTCAAATAACTGTTACATCGACGTAATGAAATGATCGGCACAATTGGCGGATCTGAATTCAACAGAGATCCTATGAATCGATGTGGATAAATATGTAAAACGGAAGCCGAAGAATATTGAAGATTTGTATGCTACGATAGAAGCTTGGAATTCCATACCTGTTAAGCGGTGCTTAGCAGTAGCATATCTTTGTGGCATTCGAATCCATGCCACGAAGATGCTAAAGTTTTTAGAAATAAGGGTCTAAATATAAAATATTATAATTATAGATTTAAAAACTTGTTAAAACATTGACACTTGAATATAAATAAAGAAACACAAGAAACTTTTTAGCTATAGTAAATTGATAATTAACACTGTTTTGCTATTTCATAATGTATGCTATAAATTTGTAAAATATGCAATTGATTTTTGTTTGTTTATGTATAAATATATGTATAAATATATGTATAAATGTGCACAAAAATAAAATTTAATTTTGCTAATCGTACGTAAGTATATAGCCGCCACTGTAATATACAATATATAAAGAGCTTATAATGTATTATATTAAATAAAAAACATAAATATTTCATATTCTTTTATGTTATCAATTTTATTATATATTCTCTCTCTCTCTCTCTCTCTCTCTCTCTCTCTCTCTATATATATATATATATATATATATATATATAAATTTTATTGATATATTTTATAAATTA